ACCTTTTGCATAAATCAATATTTATATATATGTAAACTTATATTTCCGATATTATTTTATTCATCACTATATTTCACGATATAATTTTTCATTAATATTTTCATTACTATCATTTATATTTATTATTATTATTATTATTATTATTATTTTTAATATAACTGTTTATTCGTGTTATATTTTACAATAACCCAAGAAATCATTTCTTTCTGTCATATTAAATAACTTTGAATCATAATTTCACAACCAATTATATCAACAATCGTAACTTTATAATACAATGTCATATCCCTATTATTATATTAATAAAACACATTTCCTCGCGATTTCCGCTCGGTCGCGGGTTCTAATCCGAAAATATAGTTTGTAATCGTATCCAGCGCAGCCATTGAACATAAATACACTAGATACCCTTTCCCAAATTCCATTAACCGTTCTACACCATCTCGGGACGTAACACATGCTATATACCAGGCAATGTGCGACATGTGCGAGTGAGAAGAAACAACACCTGATTTTTTCTCTCTTTCTAGAGAAGAAATAGAAGAAGGTGGGGGAACATTAAGTGAGGACTGTGTCTATTATTACGTTTACACGGCGACGTTAAACTGATTTAGTAACAACTGTAGTTAGTGATTTCTTGTATTTAATTGGATCATAATTTTAGATTTAAAAGAATGTACTAATCTAACGCGAGATTTCACTAACTACGGTTCTTACTAAACCAGTTACCAGTTTAACGTCGCCGTGTAAACGTAGTAATTGATACATTCTTTTAAATCTAAAATTGTGATCCAATTAAATACAAGAAATCACTAACTACGGTTGTTACTAAACCGGTTTAACGTCACCGTGTAAACGTAGTATAGGTATAAGGATCATACGCACAGTCCCCACTTAATGTTTCTTTCATCTTCTTCTATTAGAGAAAGAGAAAAAAATCAAGTGTTGTTTCTTCTCACTCACACATGTCGCCCATTGCCTGGTATATAGCATGCTCGGTCTATCTATACTATGTCTATGCCTGTACCTTTTCATTGTGTCTCAGGCTTTATGCGCATAGAAGCGTTGATGGACTACCTAAAACGCGGCCATGACTATTCTTTAGTTTCTCTCTGGTAATAGCAATAGTGTATATGTATGTTTATAATTTGCAAATGATTTGATGAAACTGGAGAAATAAGGTTAAAATATATGACTTAAAGACAAGAACTCAAAAAGGTTAAAGGTTGATTACCCGCATTATTTTCAAAGGTATACGGAATGTTTGTGATAATTGTCTTTAAAAATTATTAATAAACATCACATTTAGATATAATAATTTAAATGTAATTATTCTTCATTTGCGTGTAATTTCTTCGATATATTAAATATTATTTTTGCACATTGATAGATGAGTCGGAAGGAAGCGTTGTCTCAATTTATACAACAAATTCATGGACGGCCTGTCGTTGTAAAACTGAACAGTGGTGTTGATTACAGAGGTAGATATTTGTCAATATATGTATTGTACAGAGAAAATATTTGTCAATGTTAATATATATAAATATTTAATAATAATCTAATAATAATAATATTGATATATATTAACATTTATTTAATTACATAAAATGAAAAATCAAAAATTATTTCTTTTAGAAAATTTATTCTTTTAGATTAATCAAATATCTAATTTCTAATTTAAATAGTGAATATTATATATTTTTTAACTTTTAATCTTTGTTTTCCAAGATGCTGTATATTTAATAAAATTTGTTTGCAGGTGTGTTAGCTTGTATAGATGGTTACATGAATATCGCACTTGAACAAACAGAAGAATATGTCAATGGACAATTGAAGGATAAATATGGAGATGCTTTTATACGGGGAAATAATGTATTGTATATTAGTACACAAAAACGTAGGAATTAATCACAAAACAAAATAAAAATTATTTAAACTATTTCATGAGTTTGAAAGATTTATCTCATGAACATGTTTTAGCTTAATTTTGCAATAATTCCAAATAAGTTTGATATAATAGATGTATAATAGATGTTTCTATATATTTTATTCTTTTATAAACAAACTTGATACATTATTGTAAAAATTACTTTCAGGTATCACCTATTGCTGACTCTTTATTTAATAGTTTTTCTGATTCATTAGCGATTGTTTCATTCATATTTTTTTTAATTTATGTCTATATTATCTATCTGAGTGAGATTCATCTATTTTATTATCAATTGTAAGATTAACGCTTTCATTTAGTTTCTGTTTGTTGGCATTATCAGTAAATTTTAGTCTTTTAGGTTCTTCACGTTCTTTCTGCCTTTGGAATCTTCTTTGAATAGCCAATTGTTTATTTCTCTCAATTTTTTGTTTCATTTCACTGCTTAATTCATTAGTGGTAGTAGTAGCAATAATAGTAGCATTAGCAGCAATAGCATTAGCAGCAGTAGCAGTAACAGTAACAGTAGTAATATTTGTATGCTGTATTTGAGAATTCTGTATATCAGTGGACTGCATTAAGAGCTCATCAAATGCATCTTCATATGAAGTGCTTACAGTAGTGACAGAAGCTCGCGTTTCAGCTTGTTTTTGTTTTTGAATTTGTTCCATTATTAGCAAATCCAAATCATCGAGAGGCATGTTCTCTTGCTGATCTTCCTTATCTTCATCCATATTATCATGCATGACCAAACTGTCAAAGGTAATCATATCTAGTCTATATTTCTTAATGAACACCTGCAAATCTTTCTTCATTCCTAGTTGCTCAACTTTCATGAGAAAATCATCAAAATGATACTTAGGGAATAATCGATAGGACCAATGTTCTAATCTCTTCATAATTCTGTCAAGATCCATTCTTTCGTGTCCTTTACCATAAAACTTAAATCCTTCAAAATATTTTTCAATGGTTTGAATACCTTTGGAGCCTTTCAATCTTTCAGTATTAAGTTTGAGAACAGGATTTCTTATGTGTGTCTTAGTTTTTGACAAATCTATTCTTTGTGCAATTCTTGCCTCGTTGTCGGAAGCTGCTTCATCTATTTCTTCATAATTGTCATGTTCTCCAAATTCTTGATTCTCATAATGTTTTATATCATCATCCTCACGATCCGAAACATTTGCCATGATGATATGAAATATTTTTTAATCAAATTTGAATACTGTTTAGGCAGATTCCTAAAAAATATTTATTTATATCAATTTCTATTAATATAGATTAAATTTAAAATTGTATATCTTATATGTTATTAAAAAGGCGATATAGATAAATATAATTGTCCATTAAAAAATTATTAGGAAAGTCCCAAACAATAGTTTGGAATGGTTAAGTTTTTTTTAAATAATTAACCTAATCATTAATTTTGAAGGTAGAGACAATTTTTTTTTTATTTCAACAATTTTTTTTTATTTCAATTAAAATTAAAAAGAAATTTTTTTTTATTTCAATAAAAATTAATCAGAGAGAATTTCTTCTATAGTCAAATTTGAAATCGTTGGATTTTTTTAATAATTAGCATTTGAATAATTACATCTAAAAAATAGGTCGAGTTTACTTGGCGTTCAGAAAATCAGTTGTCCTAGAAATCTCTATCGTCTTGCGATTTGCAATTTCCTCTCCCTTCTTCCATAAACTTGTCGAATTGCCCGTCTGACTTCTTCATCCGTTCCAATACCGAAACAAGCAGCTTCTTATTTAACCGATCGGTTTGCGTTATCTCCCACACAACGGACTCGCACTTCCGTTCGTCTTGCGATCGTTCGTTCGTTCGTTTCCCTAATACGTTGTTGTCCTGTTTCATCGGAGTTCCAGGCATTTCCTCTGACAGAGATATTATTCAAATCTTGCAACGATAAAAATTGAGTTTAAACAAAATATTTGGCGTGCAAAAAAATAACGCAAAGTACTAACCTATCAAAATACTAACCAATGTTAATACAAAATGACAAATCGATTAATCGATTAATCGTAGAATTGATTGATCTGCGTTCCGATATTCACTTCCAGTACTGAAAATATATAGTTCATGTCACATATATTATAGATTTTATGTACTGGCAGTGAATATCGGAACGCAGCTGAGTGTTTATGACAAGTGATCAGAGGTGTGTTCGTTTTCAACGCTCACGCACTGTAAGCGCTTATAAGCGTTAAGCCGCTTAAGCCTAGTCTACAATGACAATAATGTAAGGCTATAAAGCTGTAAAGCGTGGTTATAAGAACCTACTTAAATGAATTATTTTCATTTCTTATGCTTAACAACCTTATGTCACAGTATAACTGTGCTGTATGCTGCCTTACAGCCTTATAGCCCTATGTTATGTCATTGTAGACTATGGCTTTATGCCGTCCGCTTTGGCGTGTAAGCACTTATGAGACGCATTTATGACGTCATCGTAACGTCATAACTCGTACTTATAAGTGCTTATTTTGGCTGCGTTCCAATATTCACTATCAGTACTGAAAATATATAGTTCAGGTTACGTATATATTATTATAGATTTTCAGTATTTGCAGTATCGGAATATCGGAACGCAGCCTCTATCGAGGTAGGGCACCGAAAGCATGAGCGCTTATAAATGTTTTTTGATAAAAGCGAACGTGAGTGAGCACGACGGTACGATAGTGTGCAATTGCCCGCGCAAGTATAAATTTATAAATGAATTTATAAACATGGAAACGATAGCATTAAAAGATGCTGATATTAATAAAGTATAATACACAATATGCATAATTTTGGAAGAGGCAAATCGTATTAAAATGGTAAGTATATTGTGAAATTAAATAACTTTAGTCTAAATAGTCTTTAAATATTCTTTATTCTTTTTTTTATCGTTTCATTCTAAAGAGAACAATTAATTATTTTATTATTTATATTATTATTTTACTATTTTTTATTAATTTTTATTATTTTTTTATTTTATTTTTTATTTATCATTTATTTTTTAAAATTTATTTTTATCCAAATATACAAAGTGAGTTATTAGAAACTATATTAATTATTATTTTTTATATAAATTTTTGTAACATAAATTTTAGCAATATATTAAACATACTTTTTAATATTCTTTTAATTGTTACAAATCTTAAATGTGACTTACATTGTTCATCAATATAACATAATAGAATATTCTCTACATAATCCTACAATCGAGGTATCGATTTTTTAATAAAATGTTTACCCAAAAACATTATACAATTTTCAACATCTTTCATGTAAGGATTATCATCTTCATCATCGGCAAATAATTCCAATAGATGCAATGCTTGTGCAAATAATATAAGAATTCATTCTTCTTTATTTGCCATTTTAACGCGTTTATAATTGCTTAGAAACATCAAAACGAATGACGTTGTTTTGACGTCATGTGAGCATTTTTAAGCGTGAGAAATGAAAACGAACGATTGAAAATAGCACTTATAAGTGTGAACGCTTACAGCGTGTGAGCGTTAAAAACAAACGCAGATCTCTGGGCATCGATTATGTATTTTTTAATGTTCACAGACATAGTTCACTTTTAAATTTTCACCAGTGGTCATCTCACGGATTCACCGTTAGTCATTTTCACTGTGATCACGCAGCGAAAAAAATTATTAGTGACATAACTAAAAGTAGTGAAGACCTATTCACATCAAAATATTCCAAAAACTACACTGAAGGCAACTTCACGACTATAAATATAACCTTAATATTTAGCAAAAGAAAGAGGTATGAATTTAGGAATAGATATTCCTATCCGTGCAAAGAAGATAAATACATCAACGGCAATAAGGAAGACAATTACTAATAATTGTAAGTTGCAATAATTGCAACAATTTATTAATTTATTTGAAATATATAAACTTTCATTTAAAAAATTTCTCTATTTCAGTGTCTGTACTCTAATAGCACATGATATCATTTGAATATTCTACACTCGTACTGAAAGTATTGTGATCATACATACTATTGTCTAATGTACCAGAGAACATTCATATAACATCTTGATGGTATATCATTTTTCGTATATTCTTAAGCTCATCTTTAGAATATACCGAATATACTCTAGCAGCACATGATATCATACGAATATTTTATATTTATACTGAATGTACTGTGATTATAATATAATCGATATAACCGAATATACTAAGATTATTGGTACAAAATCTATGTATCCCAAGTAGCAAGATAACGTCACTATGACGATAATTTAAAGTCATTTTTTGTCAGTGTACTAAAAAATGACGTATATATTGTTATTTAATCGTCATTTTTTAAGTCATTTTTAATGAATAAATAATGAAATAACATTATTAATTATTATTTTTTTTTAATTAACCATAATATATAAATAAGAAAAATATTTTCTATATTATTTAATACAATTATTGACAAATTCATAAACAAATAAACAAATATTCAAACAATATATATTCAACAATTTATAAACAATTTTCATAATAAAAATGACTCTCATTAAACATAATATAGGATATTTCACGGATTTATATATGTAATTAAATTTATCCACAAAAATTATATACGCAATCGAGATTTTAAAATTAAGACTATTTATATGACAATATAATAATATTTAAATCTATCATATTTTATGCAAAAATTTCATGTTCACTTATATTATCATTTCAATTGCAGGTTTTATCCCATTATAGAAGTTAAGCAGCATCGAGCAGGATCCCAAGTAGGATGACCGTTTTAAAAACATGCAATGATACAAGATAAAAAATGTTTCATTACTTTCTCTCAGTTTTTTCATTTTTTTCACTTATTTTCACTTATTTTTAAGAGGTGTCACATATATTATAAATTTTCACGATATGGCTGTCTGGGACTCTTACTGCATGCCCTACATGATATACTGTTTTTAAACCATTTTTATCCTGTGGCCATACTGCGGGATATTCTCCAATACATACTAGGGATTAGGTTAGTGAGCGGTAATAACGATCTAAGTACATCCAGAATATATCACAGTATATTCCAGAGTATATCGCAGTACGTATTTCGAATATTAGCAGAATATCTCGAATATACTTGTATGATATTCCGTGGAACGTCCTCAGAATAGACGAGTGCTATTAGGGTATTTCAAACAAACAGGAGCATAAGAGGTAAGCCAGCTTTGAGAGTTAAGCCCGCCTGCAGACGTTCAAAGTGATGAGCTGCAATTCATCAAAGAGTATGAATCGTTAAATGAATCTGCATCTAAGGAGTCTACACATCAAATTTTGCAAGAAAAAAACTTCTTTAATCGTAAAAACTACAAATTCACAATTTAGATAATGAAGCTGATAAAGAGAATATAAATGGCGGAAATGATAATTATTTTAAATGTGATATCAGATAAGGTTTCTGAAAATATTATAGTTGAAATGTTATAAATGACATTTATTTATGACAAGTTTAATAAATAAAAAATATAATTACAATATTTTGCTTTCTTTCTGATTCACTCTATTCTGATTCACTCTATTTTTTAAGTATTATATCTCCTCAGTTTACATCTTGACAATAATATTATATATACTAACAATGTATGTTCGTAAAAAATTTGAATATTTATCTATAACGGAATACATAGTCATTAAAAATTAAAATTAAAATCTTCTATTGCTAGATCTAAAACTCAAAAAACTGCGGCCATTTTACCATTTAATATGCCGTGTAGGTTAAGACTAGATTTTAACTATGTCAGCTGATGGTAAAAAGTTTCACGCTAAATATCTCACGCTTTCCGGAATTAAAATAATCACAAAATGATGAAATCCATATGAGACTCGTCACTTTTCATTAATTCGTTCTAAGAGAAAACTTACATGATCGATGCCCTGATCGGAGAAAGTAGTGGCACTCAATAGACTCTCTAAATTTTCCTAGATTAATCCGAATCAATGATGTCTCAGCATTGATTGGATCAATCATCGTAGACCAACGAAGCATAAAAGCGTTTTTGTTGAAAAGTAATTCTCTCTTTACTTTTTTATATAAAATATTAAATAATTTTACGAAATATAAAATAAAGTTCTTAATAAATTTGAATTTATATATTATAATATTTTTTGTACTAAACATTTTTTTCTGAAAATAATTCATTTCAAAGCTTGAAGTTATATTGAAAAAGTGCAAAGTCGCGCAAAGTTAACAAAAAAATATCTTATTAAAAAATTGTTAAATAAAAAATTTTTATTCATTTTATTGTTTTTATAATTATACTTGGTGATCTTAGTTTTATAAAAAGAGGATAAGAAAGGACGGCGTGTGCCACAATGGAGCTTGATCACAAACCAGTCGTAAAAATCCATAATTATTTTGCGACAAATATCACTTCAGCCAGGAATCGAACTTGGATCTCCTGCTTACCGGCAGGCATAAAAAATTTGATTCGATTAATGCTGAGACAGAGATCCAGATTAATCTAGGGAAATTTAGAGTCTATTGATTGAGTGCCACTGCTTTGTCCGATCAGAGATCTGGGATGCGTTCCTTTATTCACTTCGAGTACTTATGCTATGACGTAATGGAAGTGTATTGCATCGTTCCGTTTTAATTTCATGCGCTTTTTAACTACTTCAAGATTATAAAGCGGAACGCAGTTGCAGTATGTTTTCTAAAGCTCCAACTGAAATAATGGCATATCTAATATTAAAAAAATATTGTATTGTATATATTAAATATAATATATATAAAAATAATTAATAATAATAAAAATAAATAATAAATGATAAATAATAAAAAACTAATAATAAATAATTAATAATAATAAATAATTTCATATTATATAATATTGTCGCGTTCGCGGCGTTACTTCCCGTGATCGCGATACTCGGCGGAGCGCTCTC